TTTGGAAGGAGAGAGGGTTGCATTATTGATTATAATAATCGAATTCGTGATCGAGTTATATTGGGATATTGATTGGAAGGAAATAATAGGGAAACTCGAGTAAACAGGTTCGTGAATTATTCGTTTAATATTCCGTTAAACGGAAACATGTTCCTTGAGTATAAGTGGAATCAGGCCTCGTAAAGTCAGACACGTGGCACGCGCTTCAATCATCTCCAATATTCGCGAATCTTTAATCTTTTAGACCTTCAACGTTCCTTCAACGTGTATATATATTTCACGCTTGCGTTTCAAATCATTGTCTGCTGAAAGGAAAAGGGCGGAAATCGACCTATTTTTTCTTCGAAAAAAAAAAAAAAAAGAAAAGAAAAGTTACCATCCTCCTTCCAATACAAATAAATTCCTCAGAATTCGTATATCTAAACATAGCAAACTTAAAATAACAACTTCCAGGAACTTGTTATTATCATTACTATTATTATTATTATTATTATCATCATCGCAATTACTCCAATCAAATTGTTTTAAATTACACAGAAAAATATAAAACGCGAGAGAGAGAAAAGGAAAGAAAAAAAAATTACGCGAATAAATTAAAAAAAAAAAAAATACTTAAAGAGCGGTCGAAATAGGAATAGTTTAGAAAAAAAGAAAAAACACGATACACGCAACTTTTAACGCCTCGATTTCAATCCGAATAGGAGTAAAAAAAGGAGTAAAAGAAGGAGCGAAAAACTGAAAAATTCGTGGGGGAGGGGGCATTAAAATATCGGTCATAGAGCGCGGATCGAGAGGGCATGATACAACGTGGCGGCTGTCCGAGGCAATTTATTTCGACGGAACAAGAGTCGACACACACCGCTTGTTAAAATCGAGTTGACGAACGCGTACCTTTGTGTCTGTATCATTTGGATCAATAGAGAGAGGCTGCGAGGAGCATTCGTCGCTCCACGTCCGTTCGCCTTCCATCCATTTTCGTGATTTTTCGCCCACCCCTCCCCCAAATCACCATTTTCAAGATATCGAATCGATACTTTTGCATTCTGAATTTCGTTGAATTTTTGAGATCGGGTGGAAAATGAGATCAGTTTGGAAGAAAAATTACGTACGAACAGATTTCTCGATATCGAGATGAGGATTTTCATAAAGAGTAAAATTATGATTATTTTTAATCGTACGTTAAAAATGGAATTCAAATTGAAAAGGAAATTTCAAGTTTCGATATTTTTCGAATATTTTTGTTCCCATTATTTTCTATAATAATTCCATTAATTATAGCTTATTCGTTCGCGAAGACGAATTAGGGGATTCTTGGAACAATTTGATAGTAATATTCGAGGGGAAAGAAATTATTTTTCCAATGTGACGATTCCAATGTTCGCTTCGAAACCGATTCTGATCGTTTAATAATCGTGACGGATTATAATAGATAAAAAGAAAATAAATACATCCGATTCGAATCACGAAGAGAATCGACTCGAATATGATATTCCCTCGACGTCGAGAACCACTGGCTACGCGCCAATCTATTTCACTTATTTCCGCGACACGTTCGGTATTGCAATCACCGTTTCGAGTCGACGAGAGGTCGAGACAATTTACTGCACTGCGGCTAGGCAAAATCTTCTCCTGCAACGAGTGACAATTATCGCATCGCGCGCACACGTGTATCCAATCGATCGATTATAACAATTTCTGCATCGAAATTCACGAGCAAATTCGAGACCGCCACAAAATTGATAAACTTTCGCTTTCGTTTAAAATATTCGAAGATCGCATCGATTGATCTTTGAAAATAATTGGCGGATGCAATTGTGCAAAATATATAATAATGCAAAAATTGATGAATCATGAAAATAATTCGTCTCATTCTCGGAAAAGGAAACGGAACAGAATAATCTCCAATTAACGTAATAATTATTCGAGACGATATAACCGTCGTGAAAATTTCTTCGTTAAATATAATATGCGTATTTAATATTTATAAAATAGTTGTGGTCTAATCTAAAGAAAAAGAGAAGGCTATTGACAAGAGAAGAAACCATTTGAGAAATTGTATGTGATGATCCAGATGATAGTAAAGGCATATGGATGCGAATCGAGTTTCCTTCGTTGTCTTTTTATCGAAAGGGGCGCGACCCTTTCCAACTTCCTCGAAAACCACCCCACTTTAAGTTTCAGAGATTTTATCGTTGCGTTAGTACGTCATTTGTATGCGTTCAGACATTCGCGAGTAAACGAGATTACGGTCTGCTTCTCACTGTGGCGAGAGACCATCTCGAGTATAGTTTCTTGAATATTCCCTCTCGTTTCCCTCGAGTGGTGATCCCACACCACCACATTTAATTTAAATTCCGCAGAGACGCGTGCAAACAACCGTGATTGTTCGATAAATTGATACGAGATGGGTAAGGAAAGGGACGAGAATAACAAGCTTCGTTTTTTACCCTCCCATTTACCCATAATTTTATTTGACTATTATTTATATTCCAAAAGTTTACTTAACGTGCCGTTTCAACTAATTTAATTTGCGTTTTAATTAAATTCAATTTAATTCTAATTATAATTTCAATCGTATCATTTTATCGTATATTTTTGATTAATAATAAATAATAAATTTTAACACTGGTCCATATTTTATATACTCGAAATTTAACATTTTCTTTTCTATATACATAATTTTCCCAAATTAGATCGAAATTAGATTCCAAGGTAATTCGTAATTTTCTGGAAAAGAGAAGGAAGATGAATACGGTTCCCCATTCGCAATAGAGAACGATGATTAATTTCAGGAGGATCGTATGAGCAATTTTCAGTGGCACGCCTTCGAACCGGAAACGATCGGTTTATCCAAACGCGAACGAATCGAGGACGTTCTCTCGAAAATTAGACTGAATCTGTTGGCCAGCGTGCCGTTTCATCCTAAAGTTTCCCAAAACTTAATTTCGCTCGTCTCTGTATTTTCATAACCGATTTCAACAACACGTGGCCGCCCGAACGCGAAATCGAAAATCGTTTGATAGATACCAGTTTGTTTTTCGACAATATTGCTCCAAGATATATTGCGGCAATATGGTAACGAAAATGGATGGAAGGCTAACGAGAATAAAACTCGTGAAATTACCAATTTTTCTATTCCAAAGATTCTCGAAATTTTGAACAGACGTGTAAACTAGAAAATTTTGAAATTTTCCAATAGAATAAATGGAATGCTAAAAAGATTCCTAAAATTTATAATTTTAGAGGATGTGTAAATTTTTAGAGGAGAATACCCTTAAAATATCCTCGAAAATTCTACGTAACTCGACTTTAATAACAATTTAATATTTCCATCTCGTGAAATATTTAAAAAAAAAAAAAAAAAAAAAAAAGAGAGACGAAAGAACAAGTTGTAATTTCGAAAATTACATTATCACAAACCAGATCGTCGAATTCAATCACCAGGATTTATTTTTTTTAATTTAATTTAAAAACGCCAACCATTATTCTACCCCATCGATTATTTATTTTGTATTATTTTTATCTGTTTTTTTTTTTACATATATCTCATCTCATGTTTTTTTTATCATCTCATTTTTTACAGCATGGCCGCTCAGACTCGTACAGGGTCGCAACGTTACCAAAAATTCGCGACGACAACAAAACGGCCGACGGGATGTACAAGGTATTCACAGCGGTACTTCCGGTCCGCGGTGGCTCTCTCCATTTGTTATTTCTCGCAATTCCCCTTCCACCTCTTTTCTCTCTCCGGGGCTTGCTTCATGGACGACATATTTTCTCCGTCTTCGAATCTCTTCTGCAATCATTCTCTTTCCACCCGCGGAGAATCAATCTTTCTCTCTCTCTCTTTCTCTTTCTCTCAACTAACCACTTTTCGTCATTTCGCTCTAACGATCACGACAGATTCCCTCGTAATATCTCTCTATTCGAAATTCATCTAAAAATACCACTTTACGTGCTTTTTTTTTTTTTTTTTAATATTCTTTTTAGTCAGACACTTTTGTCAATCTTCTTTTTCTCTATTCAACTAAGGGGAATGCTCTATTTTTCAACGAGTGTTATTCTTCTGCACAATGCGTAATACTCGTATTCGATGTGACTTTAAATTACTAACACGTTTCATCGAAGTATCGCGTCGTGTTACGATGCTATGTTATTTTTCTTATGATAAAATATCTCGTAATAAATTTCTTTATTTTTTTTAAAAATCTTTTTTAATCCTCTATTGCATGAATTTTTATGAGTTGGAAAAAATATATAATTGCTAGTCCATTTAAAAATGGAAGTGTGGTCATGAAATAAATAATAACAGCATTCTTGTTTTTTAAAACATTGACGGGTGCATCTCTGTATTTTGCTTTTGAAGTTTAAATTAATATTATATTAAATTATTGTTTAAGTTAATAATAATATTAAATTTAAGTTAAATTTAAATTAAGTCCCCCCATTTGGGAACGGAATGCAATAGAGGGTTAATTCTTCCTCATTTCTGACGATAATCACTAATTACTGTGATATTATAATCTGTATTTCTTACAATTCTTCCAGATTTCTTCATTTTTATCTATTATTTTTCTTTCTTTATCACTTCTTTGTTTGTTTGTTTCTTTCTTTCTTTCTTTCTTTCTGGTGGTCGGTACTAACTGCGTATACTATTTCTTTCACACAATATATATGACTAATACTTTGTATTATTCGTTATGACACTAATTACTTAACACGTTTTACGAAGCATTGTGTGTATTATTGTTATATTACGATATTGGAATTCATTTTTGGATGAATTTCATTTGTCGATTGCTTGGGTGTATTTAAGGTATATATTTAAGGTGATTGATTAATCTCGTGACAATTCTACGTTTATATGTACGTTTCACGAAGATATGATTAATATTCTTGCGATTAATCCAAGGTCTCCAAGGTATTTTAATTACGTAAAATACGTTCTATTCATATCTATGTAGAAATATGGTATTAGGATGGAGAGTAATTTTTAACGATGATCTAATATCTCGTTCTTGACCCTTATTCTTTAATGATAAAACTTTTCTTCTTAAAACGAAGATTTGTTAGAATTATAAACGATCGAAATGTTGAAAAACTTCGAGAAGATTTTTCCCTTCCTAAAAACAATATTTTTTTATTATAATATTCTCGAAGAAGTATGATACTTTGAAATTCTTTGAAGCTTTGAACGCTCGCTTTTGTACATTTAATCTCTGTCATCTCCATTAATTACTTATTAATATCCCTCAACAATTGATTCCTTTACCTCGATATTCCAAATTTTGTCCGATCGATGAAAATCGATCGTTCGATCTCAACTCTAACCATTCGTCTCTTTTTTCTTATTTTTGCGAAACAGTCGCGGCGGAAGAATCCAAAGCGGAGGACGGACAATTTAGAGGACCTGAAACAGGAGTTGGACATTGACTTCCACAAAATTACACCCGAGGAACTGTATCAAAGGTTTCAGACGCACCCCGAAAACGTAAGTTGTTTTCCATTGTTCTTAAACCGGGTTGAAGAGGAGGAGGAATAGGCTTCGCATCCCTTTCCAAAATACAACAACAAAGATAAAAAAAAAATCCTCCATTCCTAGAATAATAATTGATCACCGCTGAGAACAGATCTCTCTCTCTCTCTCTCTCTCTCATTCTTTCTCTCTTCGCCATCGAGTCCAGCGCCTCGATCGATCGGGTTATTTAAAGCTCTCTCGAGTATCATCGCTGACACGAAATTCCTGATGTCCCTTATTTAGCGAAGCCTATAATCGTGGGACGCCAATGCATTCCTCCCTCCTTAACCCCTTTCTCGCCGATTTGAATCCAAACGAGCGAGATATCAACGGGAAGGAAAATATTTTTCATTGCGACGAGAATAATAATAACAGTAATATAATTAACGATGGATCGGACGGTTGCAGGGCCTCAGCCACGCGAAGGCGAAAGAGAATCTGGAGAGGGACGGTCCAAACTCGCTGACGCCACCGAAACAAACGCCGGAATGGGTGAAATTCTGTAAAAATCTGTTCGGCGGTTTCGCGTTGCTGTTGTGGATCGGCGCGATCCTCTGCTTCATCGCGTACTCGATCCAAGCGTCGACGAGCGAGGATCCGAACGACGACAATCTGTACCTGGGCATCGTGTTGGCGGCGGTCGTTATAGTGACGGGTATATTCTCGTATTACCAGGAGAGCAAGTCGAGCAAGATAATGGAATCGTTCAAGAACATGGTACCCCAAATCGCGATCGTGATCAGGGAAGGCGAGAAACTGACGTTGAAGGCCGAGGAGTTGGTGCTCGGGGACGTGGTCGAGGTGAAATTCGGCGATCGTATACCGGCCGACATCCGTATCATCGAGTCAAGGGGATTCAAGGTGGACAACAGCTCGTTAACAGGTGAATCGGAGCCCCAATCGAGATCCCCGGAGTTCACGAACGAGAACCCGTTAGAGACGAAGAATCTCGCCTTCTTCTCGACAAACGCCGTTGAGGGAACCGCGAAAGGAGTGGTGATCTGCTGTGGCGATCAGACAGTGATGGGAAGGATTGCCGGCCTGGCATCCGGCCTTGATACTGGTGAAACGCCGATCGCTAAGGAGATTCATCATTTCATCCACCTGATCACGGGGGTAGCCGTATTCCTCGGTGTAACCTTCTTCATCATAGCCTTCATACTCGGTTACCATTGGCTCGACGCTGTCATCTTCCTGATCGGTATAATCGTTGCCAACGTGCCGGAGGGTTTGCTGGCCACCGTCACCGTTTGCCTCACGTTGACCGCGAAACGGATGGCCTCGAAGAATTGCCTGGTGAAGAATCTCGAGGCGGTCGAGACGTTGGGCTCGACCTCGACCATCTGCTCGGACAAGACGGGCACCCTCACCCAGAATCGTATGACCGTTGCCCACATGTGGTTCGACAATCAGATCATCGAGGCCGACACAACCGAGGATCAATCCGGATTGCAATACGATCGCACGAGTCCCGGCTTCAAGGCGTTGGCCAAGATCGCCACGCTGTGCAACCGCGCCGAGTTCAAAGCCGGCCAGGAGGACAAGCCGATCCTGAAGAGGGAGGTGAACGGCGACGCGTCCGAGGCGGCCCTGTTGAAATGCATGGAGCTTGCCCTCGGCGACGTGATGGGTATAAGGAAACGTAACAAGAAAGTGTGCGAGATCCCGTTCAACTCGACCAACAAGTACCAGGTCTCGATCCACGAGTCGGACAATCCGGACGACCCTAGGCACCTGCT